AATATATTGAACTGATTATCATTTATTAAGGAAAAATATAATACCCAAAATAAAAAACATCCTGTTTGTCCGAAAATATCTATTATTGTTTTGTCTCATACAGAAATATAGTTTTCTTGTGGTAAATGTATACCCACAAGAATTTTTACAATTGTATCAAAACACTAAACTTTCTATTATTAGATGGGAGCACTTACTTTTTAATGAAAAATGCTCGGACACGTTTGCTTTAGTTTTTATTTAAAATCTTTTAATTATAATTTTAAATTGTTTGCCCCCACTATATTTCCCCTACCTAATTATGCATATTTATCTTAAATAACAACCCCACTAATGACAATAAATTTTATAAATGATATTTCTCGCTTTTTTTTGTTTTGTGGGGATAAAGACGGTTCTTAAGTCAAACATAATTGAGGATGTCCATTCCAGGTACACTATGTATTTTCGTACCCCGATTCTTTAACTAGGTAAATATAAATATATATATGTATATATATATATATATATATATATATATATATATATGTTTTGAAAGTTTCACGTAATTTATTTGAATGTTGACAATTGTTTCGCTACACAGTAGCTTCTTCAGAATGTATTAAAACTAATACTAGTGCAAAATTTATATAACAAAAATATTGTTTTTTATGTAATAATTTTTATTCTAAATCTCCCTGTGTTACATAATATTCAAAAAAGCTTTCAGAAATTCCTTATTGGAAATACCTAATCTATTTATTGTTAACAATTTTATGTAAGGGCCAATATTTTAAACATATGATTGTTTTATATAATGCTATCGTTGCATCTTAATTAAAATAGGTTTAACAGTGGTGTATTATTTGTTGATTTGATCATTGAGAATATTATTGGTATTTTTAAGATTGTTAATTTCTAAAGACTCCAATAGATTTAATTTTGTGCCTTTATTTTCTAAATGTACCTAATATTTTAAAGTTGTTATTAAATATATGGTTTTCTGCAATTAGATGTGTCGCGTAAGCTAAATCAAGTTTTTGCTTTATAAATGATCTACGATGTTCTTTAATTCTGGTATTAAAATTACGGCCGTTTTGTCTTATATAAGTTTTTGAACAGTTCTTTAAGTATACTGAAATACTTGTTTTGGCGTTTTCGTGATCATCTAGTTAATTTACTTACTTTATAAAAATTAGGACTCTACGTTGTGTATTTACGTACATTGATAATAACGTTATTTTGAAATTGCTCAGGTTTAATGAAACACAAGTATTTAATTTGAAACCCCCGATTTAATTTAAGCAAAGACAAAGGGGTGGCCCGTTACACAGTTCAAATAAAAATAAAATACAAAACAAAACAAAGTCATATGGGTCATAATCACAAGAATACTATATAAATAATAAGTGAATAAAATAACATGAAAAGCAAATAAACATATTTCATATTATTTGGGTGTTTTTATCAATATTGAAAACATTTTGTACTGTAAAAGATCGTCATTTTACGACAAAGAGTTGTACTATTTGTTTACCTTACCAGGTATCTTCTAACTATTGAACGAGGATACGATTTTATATAAATAAACTACAGCAACGACACATTTCTGATAGAGAGAATTTAAATGCTTTTAAAAAGGGGGGCATGGGACTATGTAACAATAGCATACTCTCTGAAGTGATATAACGACAGCTATGGTGGTCCTATCTCACTAAAGTGTCGCTATGTTCAAATATTCTTACAAAATTAATGTCCTGAACAAGACAAAAGTATTGAGAAAATGTACAATTCTGCACACAGAGTTCATATAGGTAATAACATAAAAACACTATTTTTCTTCTAAGGATAAATCCTTTTCAAATAATGCTAATATATTACCCATATAAAAAACCTTTCGATTGATGTTACTATTCCATGTATGTGAAAATTATTTTATTATCTCACAAAAGTATTAAAAAGTTTCTCATCGCCAATATTTGAAAAGTTTATATGAACATTGTACTGACCTTTTAATTTCGCCGGCAGTAACCTATAACTTTATAAATTCGGGCACGGACTCCACTGTAAAGTGCTTATAAAACATTTTCTTTACTTTCACTGTGAAAAACTGTCAATTTGCAAGAAATACATTTCGATTTATAACCTTTATAATTGTATTTATAAAATAAAAATTTAACATTTGACGGTGACACACAGATTCCCCAATTGTTTCATAGATGGCGCTCTATACAAATTTTTGATTTAAATCATTTTAAAATAATAATACGTATTTGTCGTAGAAAAAGTATAGTATGCACCTCGTTTATAAACTTTTCTATACACTCATTAATTTAAATTAAATTCGTGTATAAAATGGCGTTTATCAAACTTGATACATAATATATTAAAATTTTAAATATTATTTTGTATCAAGAAACCATTGACGTGTCGACGGTGTCTATGGTAACCACGTAATCTGTCATTGTTCAAAATTTAATGGCATCAATTTTTCATTATTATAAACAATTTGTTGACTAATTAACCAACAATATTTTAATTAACAATTTTTATTACTAATTTCTTACTAAATGTTTAAAGTGTCTTCCATTTACATTCAAGCATTTCTTAATTCTTAAAATAAATTTTATATTTTATTGTCTCCAATGAGCTAGTGCTTCATCTAGTTGACATCCTACAGCTTTATTGATTTTCAAAATTAGCAAATACGGTTTTATTACTTTTAAATTTAAAAAATGTTTGGCTTGTCATTTTTTTAAGTCAGTGACTTTTCTTAGGTAATTAGTTGAAAAATGTTGAAGAATTAAGAAGGAATATTTTAAACAATGTTTTAAGATTTCAAAAATTCCACCCCGATATTCATAAACCTAATAACGAAAAAGTTATAGCCTGTTTTTGATTAACGCGCATTTCTCAATTTTTAACAAAATAAATTAATAACTCGAAAACTATTCTCTTTAGGTATAGGACGTAGTATAGTAATTTTACTCAAAATTTTATGTATAATTTAAAAATGTAAAAATATATGGGGTGTTATATTTGAAATAACAAAGTTGGTGTCACTTCCGGTTAAACCGGAACTTGCAATTTGTTCAAATTATTTTAGAAAAATAGACTAAAATTATAAACGCTTTTCCGTTCCTCAGAAACTTCTAATGGACCACGAATGTGAAACACCCTGTATATAATATACATTAGACTGGGCTAAAAATCAACAATTTTTTCTTTGTTGAAAAGTATATCGAAAATATGGTTTGGGGTGACAAAAAAAATTATTGTGTAAGTTTGAGTCCATAATATTAATATTAAGAGGTCTATCATCGCAATTTTAATTTTTTTTCCTCTGCAAGCTTTTGTCTCAGAACTCCCAAACTATTGAGTTTAACAAAATTGACTCAGGCATATTTTTTTAAGAAAATTAAATGTTCCACCAAAAAGGTTAAAATTAAATTTTCCGTCAGATGAACCGTTTCCTTAAAATCATGCCTTAAAAATTGGTATAGTTTTACATTCTTATCTTTTAACTTTGGAATTTTCAAAACTTTTGTAATTCATGTAAAAATCAGTACCCAGATTCTGGCAGAAAAAAACCGATGAATATTCTTATGGCAAATTAAACAAAAAAGCCTCTTAACATTTTTGACTAAATTCACTTAATCAAAAGTTATTCAAGCTTAAAGTTGAAGTCAAAACGAAATTTTTCCTCTGTAGATTTATTTTTTTATGGGTGAAAATTTGATTTCTTTCTTTATAAATGTGTAACTATATGTATAACTATTAACAATTTCCAATAAAAAAACAACATGATTGTTATTATTTAAACGATTAAATAGGTAACAGTCAAAATAAAATTTTCTAAAGAAAATAGCTGTGTTATTTTTTTTTAATTTTCAGTAATTTTATCAATAACATAAAGATTATCATCGACTATTTCCCTCGTCATAATTTCCACCAATCACAAACGCGCAATTTTGAATTACAAATGGTTTCTAGGTGAAAAAACTGTGTGACAGCACCTGTCAGCAGTTTTTTCGAGTTTACCCGCGGCAAAACTTGACAGCTGTTGTCACCAAAAATTGCAATTTATATTTTAATTGTTAACTGTTACTCATGAAATAGTCTTGTCAAATACCATTCGGGCATCTAATTTTTCCTGTGAAAAAAATCGAAAAAACACAATGCTAAGTAATTTTTTTTTTTTTTTGTTAAAATATCACTTAGCAACGTGTTTTTTTTATTCTTTTCGGAAAAATGAAATGCCCTTATGATATTACTTACGATAAAAGAATTCAAGTTTTTTACTGTCCCAAAAAAAAATCTAGAGCGGAAAAAACAAGAACTTCGTTTGGACTTAAAATTTAACCTTGAATAACTTTTAATGGAGTGAATTTAGCCAAAAATGTTCGGAGACTTTTTTGTAGAGCATTTGATTTTCCATAAGAATATCTATCGGTTTTTTCCGGATACTGATTTTTACATGAATTACAAAATTCCAAAGTTAAAAGATCAAATTGTAAAACAATTTTTATGGCATGATTGTAAGAAAACGGTTCATCTGACGGGAAATTCCAATCAAACCTTTTTTGTAGAACATTCAATTTTCTTCAAAAAATATTCTTAAGGCAATTTTGTTAAACTCAATGGTTTGCGAGTTCTGAGACAAAAACTCGCTCAGGAAAAAAAATTTAAAATTGCGATGATAGACCTCTTAATATTAATATTATGGACTCAAACTTTCACCTTAATTTTTTTTGTCACCCCAAACAATATTTTCGATATACTTTACAAAAAAAATAGTCGATTTTTTTGGCCCAGTCTAATACATATACATACTTTTGAAATCAGTAAGAATCTCATTAAAACCAGTCTACCTATTTATTTTTTCTTTTCAATTAGTAAAATTTATTTATATTCAAATTTTTTATTTTAACTTTTGACAAACAAAAATGTAACACTATAATTTTTTTTCTTTTTCAGAAAATAACCAAATAACTGCATAATCAAAACCCAACAGGCACAAAAATGGATCATTCCCAGCACCAAGACATGATGGACCATCACACGCACGGAGTAGACCACGCATCCATGGACCACTCGATGCACGGTACTGCGCACGGAACCGGTCACGACATGAACGGCATGAATCACGGCAGCGGCGACATGACCCACGACATGATGAACCACGCTATGAGTATGGCAGTAAGTATCAATAACTTAGTATACAAATGGCAATCTTCTTAACCCAAAACTTAAAACAAAGATTGTAGAAGGAAAAATCTATGGTAGTCGGGTTTTATTTTTTTTATGTAGAGTCAGGTGTGCTGATAATGAATCAAGAATATTCCCCGAAAAATTCTTTCCTCGTCCCCTAATTTCATCCTCCGAAAGGGGAGTTTTTTTGCTTTTTGGCTCATAACTCGCTAACCGTGCATTTTTTCAGAATTTGACCTCTAATAATTTTGATTATGTACTAAATAAGGCACACGTTCAACCTCATTGCGCACCTATATGATGTGCCCTTTTGCTATGCGCAGTGTGCAATGTTGAGCGTTGCTTTCAAAATTTTTTGTTTTTTTTATTATAGCCCAATTTTAAAAGTAATCGATCCCAAACCTTACTGTGACATAACCAAATGGACGATTTTTGAGGTACTAGACTTTTTTCAAAAGTTACTGCTTTTCAATGTACAGGGTGATCCCCTATAATATGTAGAAAAAAAGTATTTTTAGTACCTACATAACCACACTTTGAAATTTTTTCGGACACTTAAAATAAAAAAGTTAAATAATTTTAAAAACTACGGATTCGTTACGAGGATAGGTGTACCTAAAAATCTAGAGTATAACGAACTGGCTCATTAAAGCCGTTTGGGAAATAAAAAATGTTTTTTTTTTTAAAAAGAACCCTCTGTACATTGAAAACCAGTAACTTTTGAAAAAAGTCCAGTTATATAATATCCTTACATATTGTAAGAAAATGGTCAATAATATAAAAAATTATAATTTATTTTTATGAAAATTATATAATCTTTAATAAAATTCAAACGTTTTGTCATTACCTACTTAAATAAAATCGAAAGTTTTAAGTGGATAATTAAAATAGGGCACAATATTCTTAATAAAAATCAAATTTAAAAAAAAACTAACCGTGGGATTTATTAAATTTTGCTCTTAAATTTTTAGTTACATCATGAATAAATAAAATTTTACAAAAAAAAAATTTCTCAAGTCTGAAAATCACTTCTCAGAACAGCACCGTGTTTTGTTTAGTAGTAAAATTACCAGAATTGGAAAAAACAGCTTTTTTTTTAAACAAAATCCAATCCACTGGGCCTTTTTGGGTTACATAAAATTCAAGTATTTTCACCACCTTATTTTTATGAATTATTTTCGCGGTAGTTTCTTATACAGTGTGTATTAAAACGAATAGTCTATTCGGAATAGATACACTTAAATAAAACAAGTGCCAAACCCCGCCCACTGTGGTAGGGATTGAATTCGTTTGCTTGCCGTATCATTGTCGTTACAGGGCTGGATGCTCCCGTGTACGAGTTCTGGTTCGTCCCGCGCATGACGTCACTTGATGAGTAGTTGCCGTGCGAATACACGAATAATAGTAATATTATCAAAGAAAATAGAGAAATTTCTGGACATAGTGCGTTTTTATTAAACTTAATATTGAAGAAAGTGTTATAATATGGATAATAAATGCTTTCAGTCCTTGATAACATTTAGGGCTGTAGTTTAAGCGTTGGTGTTTTAAATTAAACTTATAGTCACTGTCCAGAAAATGTTTATAGGAAACAGAAGCGGTCTTGACGTAAATATTGTCTATTATTTTTGTGGCATTTAAACACTGTTTCCACAAATCAAACTTGTTCGGGAATCGATTAAATTTAATGTTTTTATTTAAAGGGTTTTTCTTGGACTGGTTGTCCGAATTGCATCCAAATATGCCATACCGCATTTTAATAAATGCAAATGGCACTATACAATCTAAAACACAAACAAAACAAGTTAACGCAACACAAAAATAATAAACAAACCTAACAGGTTAACCTAACGCAATAACAATAATTTGAACGCTGAAAAGTAATTCGAACCTTACCGAACACAAAAACGACAAGTTAAACAAAAAGTAGAGCAAGTTAACATCCAAAAGCATCGCAAAAACAAGAATTTTAGCAGTAGATAATTAAAAAGCACGTTCAAGTTTTAAAAACACTCATCAAGTGACGTCATTAAGCCCCGCCCAACATGCGCACCATCCTATCTTAAGGTGTATGTATCTTGTTGTCGTTACGACAATGTCGTATGATCTGTGCGTCAGTTTAAGAAGTGCACTGAGACTTTGCGTACGTCTTTCTAAGAATAAAAAAGTATTTTCTCAAATAAAATGGTTTTTATCCGTGAGGAAAAACACCAAATTATGGTATGGCATCACACTGGTAGATCGTATCGCCAAATACAAACTTTATTTCAAAATATTTTTCAAAATAGGCCTTTACCCAGTGTAGCTACAATCCGGCTGTATGCCGCGCTGTTGCCATATGCTATTATTGTTTCCTAAAAGGGTTGTTTTTCTTATTTTTTAATATTAAAAGTAAGAAAATTAACTAAATCAAATTATTTGTGACATATTATTAATTTTTTTGTTATTTTAAAAGTTTCAAACAAATAAAATTGAACTATTTATTAAATAATTATAATCGTTCTCTTCTGTTTTAAAACAACCTGGCAACTATGGTTCGTAATTACGAATGGCTTGGTTTAAACCACGCCCAATTAAAGTTTGATTCTTTTTCTCTGATCAGAATATAATTTGTCATCCTTGTCTCCAGCCTTACTTACTTGATTCTATACAGTCTGTATAAAGGGTTTGTTTAAAAAAAAAGAAAGAAGAAAAAAAACCATTCTAAAAACCCACTTTTAAAAAAATCCTACTTTCTTTTTAAAGTGGGTTTTATCAAAAAAAAAACTGAAAATGGGAGAATTTTGTATTGCATTTGTTATTATTTTATTTTAAACCTAATTATTTTTTGAGTTAAATTTAAAATCATTGCAAATAAAATTTGCTTTTACGAATTTTGTTATGACTAAGAACATGTGATCACACTAGATAATTTTAATTAATAATTTACTTCAAAATTGTATGTATTTGTGTTCTATTATGCTAGTGTTAAACTGATAAACAGATAAATAACCTCTGCCTTGTTAACTTGTCACATTTCAACCAATAAAACAGTTTGCATCAAAGAGCGTTTTATAAAACAAAGCTCATTAAAAATAACAACCTAACAAACATTAATAAAATATCTAAAGCTCATTTTTTTTTATCTGGACTGCGGCAACGTTGCAATTTAGGGGTTTGGTTGGTAAATACGGAATCAAAATTGGTTGCATTGATTAAAACAAACTAAAATAGTTATAAATAGTTATATAGTTATAAATGTAATTATATTGTAATTGTGGTTATGTTTAAATTATTGTACGTTAAATTGAACGGTTGTCAAGTTGAACTGCACAATGTAACCTACAATAATTTATACATAACCACAATAAGATTTATAACTAGCTTAGTTTGTTTTAATCAATGCGACCAACTTGACAACTGTATTTACCAACCAAAACCCTAAATTTGCAACGTTTCCGCAGTCCAGATAAAAAATGAACTTTATAATAATTAACAAGTAAATTATCAATAGTAAATATTACTGTCAATTTGACAGTGTCAGAGTATTTAATTAAGGTCTTCAGCAGAAGTACCATTTTTTAAATACTAAAAATACTAAATCAAACTGGCATAAGTTATGAGCTGTATAAGAAGTTGTTATTCAACAAATTTACTTTTTTAATCCATTTATTACATTATTCGGGGTGCCCTAAACATGACGTACTGGCATCAAATCCGCGATATTAAAAATACAATATTTTTAGTTATTGAGGTTTATAAATACAGGGTGTCCCAGAACTCGCGCCACAGAGAAAAAGGGGGCGTGCCGATAGCAATGGAGATGCCAAATTTAAAAATAAAAAATTTCTAGGTACCTAATAGTGTAATCAAATGAGAGCAAAAAAGCGGCAGCCAATACCGAGAGATCTCGCCTAGGTTAAACGTAGGAGCTTTAAAAATTGCTAGGAGACGATAGAACATTGTTGTCTTAAAAACATTTAAAAATCTTTTGGCCAACTGTATTTACTAAGTTGTCAAAAGCTTTCAAAAAATGAGGTTATTAATATACAGTAGAAACCACGAATATATGAACGTGACTCATCAGGCATAATCGTACGAAGTAATCTATCGAAGGTCACGGTCCAGTGCGGTGCTGTATAACGGGTATTTTTAAAAAATCTTGAGTGTAATGGTGGTTGCTATACTTCTGATATATTTGCTTTTAAAGTTAAATTTTAATAATTAACATCTACGATAATTAAATAAAATGTAATTTTCTTAGAAACTAATTAATAAATAAACTTTTCTTTTAACTTTAATGAAATATTCTATCATCTGATGACAGAATGTTCACTCGTGGCGACATCTCTGTTTTTAATATCTAACAAATTTTTTGACCGATCCAACCTCACTTTCTTTCAATTAAATTCTTTGTCTATGGTATTTTTTGGAAACGTAGAAAAAGTATAGTCTGAAACACGTTTGGAATTGCATATTCCCCTCTCGTGAAACCGTCAAACTCCCCTTCGGCTCGTGTGAAATATGCCGTATTCCAAACTTGTTAAAGAATATACTATTCTTTTAACTGTAAACGCAAATATTTCAGAATTGGTGACAAAAAAACAAAAATGTTTACGCAGGTCAGGTACAAAGTGAAAGATATTTAAATTGTGTGGATATAAACAACTTGCGTTAGTTTCACGAAATTTATTAAATATTGACAATTGTTTCGGTACACAGTAGCTTCTTCAGAATGTATTAAACTAATACTAGTACAAAATTTATATAATAAAAATATTTTTGTATTCTACCCTAGAATTTCTAGGTAAGGATTTTTATACGACATCTACCTATGTTACATAATATAAACCACTGCCACTACAACGTTTAAAACGATTATTAATCCGTAAACACACAGCAGAAACACGATATGCAAAAACAAAGATCATATGACATATAAAAACAAATGGCCGACGGTAGAGTTGGTTGCCTTACTATGTAATAAAATAAAATAATTCCCTAAAACACGAGCTCTACTGAATTCCAACAAAATTAAGTAACAAGCTAGGACACGCGTCATATGTCCATGTTTGTCGAACACCTAGGCAGTTTTACATCACAGATGGCGCATTTTATACCGGATGCTTAAAAACCTACGTGTGAGTACATTTACCGCTGCATCGAATGTACAAGACAAGTAAAACATTACTGCTAGCATGTCTGAGATATGTTCGGCACCCGATGAGTCACGTTCATATATTGGTGGTTTCTACTGTATGACTGATACTTCAGAACGCCAATGTTTTAAAGTAAAAAATCAAACCAGTTGTACTTTATTTACCTTTTTTTGGGCCCACGCTCTCCATAAATAGTTATCATTTCGGTATAATCATCAAGGAAAACATTATTTATAATAACTTAATTTATTACCTAATATAATATTAATGACAAAAGTAAAGATTGACAGCATTGTCAATAATAACTTAATTTATAACCTAATATAATATTAATGACAGGAGTAAAGATTGACAGCAGTTTTACAAAGAATTAAATTCCAGTGGACCAAATATTTTACATATTTTTTTATTATAAGCAATGCAACCTAAGTATCCTAGCAATTTAAAGAATTCCCTATGGCCATCTATTTAGATTGGCTATCGTTTTTTATTCTTATCTCGCTTATCCTTTGCGTTAGACAATTTTAATTTTCAAATATGTGTTTCGTGTTACTTTCGGCACGTTCCCTTTTTCTCTGTGGCGCGAGTTCTGGGACACCCTGTATAAAAATAAATTTCGATATGGTAGAGAGTAAAAATGTTCACTAGAAACAAGCCTTTAGTATAACATACTAGTATGCTTAATATCTTAACCTTGATCATTTTAATAAACGATTTTTTTAAATTTTAGTTTCATTTTGGCTCCTCTGAAACCGTTCTCTTCTCAAAGTGGCATTTTGAAACAGTTGGTGGACTTGTTGGCTCAATGATTGGTATATTTTTTATGGCAGCTTTGTATGAAGGACTTAAATACTACAGGTATTGTAAAAAAAAACACATTTTAAAATTATTTTTATTGCACAAAATTTTAGACATAGAATGTTAAATCGTTTAATAGTATATTAAAGAACTAATGTCATAAGACGTCATTTTGTCGCACGCGGACAATTTTATAATGGACAAGTGCGACAAAAGGTCTTATGACATGAGTTCTTTATGCTATTTTATCTATTTTGCAATTATTTCATAAAACAAATTAATTTTATACCTTATATTTAATTTGGTGGAATTTTACTTTACATAGTTGGTATCACAGTTTGAAGTTTGAAAGGTCATTAACCTTTCAAACATTATCACATTCTTTCGCTATGGCGTCGTTAATTTACAATAAGTATTTACAATAAGCGGCTGTTAAAGAAGAAAAAAGTATTTTCTTTGGTGTTAAACAAAATTTATTGCACGAAAAGTCTCGTAAGTACTATAAAACAAATCATAAAAATATTATAACCTATAGGTATTCAAAATTGTATTTTACCAGTAGCCAACCTATAAAATCAAAATTTTGGGTGGAATAAAGTACCTCATTAAAGAACCAAAAGCGGTGTTATAATGAAGTCATTATGAAACCAAAATAGATAAAGTTAGTTAACAAATTAAGTTTTTAAGATTAATTTTCGTTAAAATCAATATTTTATCCATAATAAGTGCCTATATTTAAAAGAAAAAAGGAATGGTACAAATATTGTAAAAAATGATTACATAATTTGGACGTTTCCCATATTTTGTTAAACTAAATACTTTTTTGAAGAGTTACAAGTTGGATGGAAAGAAATCAGCGGTTCTCAAATAATTAAAAAAAAACTAAAAACCAAAAATCTAAATAACTTCGTTATTCCTCTGAATTTAGAAAAAAATCAGTATAACAATGTGATTTTTGACGCCTACTAGATTTTAAGTTGCCACTACCATTTTTTTTATAACCGCCATATTGGGATTTTACATGGTTAAAAAAAATCGAGGAACCCAACAATTTATCAAACTCACTACATAAGTTATGGCGGCCATTTTAAAAACAAAAGATGGTAATGGTAACTTAAAATATAGTAGCGAAGAAATTGGATGAAAATATTAATAGTGTTAACGCAAAAATTAATGAGGAAAAACTTTCTTGTTTTGGTACTATCATCCTTCCAGAGGATAACAATTTATTAGGTGACATCCTGTATTTGCAGGTAAAACTTACTATTTTCAAAATTCACAGGAAAAACGTAGCTATAACGATTTTTTGTTATGGCTGGTTTGTATTTTTTCCAATTTTAAAATTTTATTTTAATATGCTTGTCATGGCGCATTTTTCTCTGATAAAACCGACCTTTTAAAAAATGTCATTGTCATGAACTAAAAACTTTTTAAAGTTAGTCATTTGTATTAAATTTTATAGATTTTTTTGGTTTCATTACTAAGGTATACCTTAGCCTCGTCTTAAAATCCAAATAACATATGTACCGTCCATCAAAGTTTTAATAATAAGTATATTTAACTTATCATAAATAAACTATTAACTATAACTTTATTATTGTATGAAAATCAGCCCAAATTGTGATTAGGTACGTTTATTTTATAATGCCTATTATTTGTAGGGAATATTTGTTTTGGAAACAGTACAATGCTCTACAATATAGGGCCGTCTCTATACCAGAAAAAGGAACTACGCCTGAAGACAACCAAGTTGTTCAGTAAGTTTTTTTTTATTCTGAAAAATTCGGTCCCGTAAATTCCATTAAATTTTAGTTTACATAAAATAATTATTATAATAGTTATAATTAGCTAAAAAATAATAAAATAAATTGTTCTCAACTAATTAATTGGAGCATCAACTCTAGATGTTTTTATATTTTTTTCTATGACTGAATATTTTGGAATTTACTCAACCATTTATTTAAATAATAATATATAACATATAATACGTAAAATTATGAAATTGAAGTGAATGTGTCAGGACTAACACTAACACCATTTTTATTAATTTCATCTTTTTTTTCTAAATCATTTACAGTGTGGTTGGTGAAGTTATCCATAAACAACCGTAAGTTAAAATAGTAAAATGTAGATGTCTGTGTGTGTAACTTTCTATCTAATTGTATTTTGTTTTACTAATTTTCACTATAAAATGTTTGCTACTAATATTAGTGCATGGTAGTGTTGATTGTCTTTATCGTTGTGTTTAAATTAGTGAACAATTAAAATGCACAGGTACAAGTAGTACAAGTAATTTTGCGATATGGTATAATAGAGGTTACATTATTGGGTAAATCAAACAATGTAATATAATATTAATATAATTATTTAATAAATCTATCATAAAGTCAATAAATTTTCTTATCATACATTAACACAAATATACAACGTGTTGGTAATTTTTATATATAATTTCTATAACCAGATGTTCAAAAAAGTGTATATAAAATTTTTTGGCAAAATAGCGTCACATTTGTGTGTGAAAAATTGTTTTAAACAAATATAACACAAAATGTAAAATCCAGAAAAATATTGCGCAAGATACTAATCCTATTAATTATTAAAAATAATGAGATATTTTTGCTCTTTGTAAAAATATTAATCCTTTTTTAATTAAAATCTAAAAAACATATTTTAAATTTGGTGTAATTGGTCAACATCTATAATCCAACATTGTATACAGGGTGTTTCCACTCAAAATGGATAACTTGATAGATATTGTCTCATCAAGACACTTTTTTCAAATAAATATTTTTTATTTAAGCTTTTGTTTTTAAAGTATCGACTTTCTTTTGTTTTTATATCAATCTCTATCTTTGTTGGTTAATATTTTTGTTAAAAATGTTTATGTAAAAACAAATGAAGGTCAATAATTTACAAAATAAAAGCTCAAATAAAATAATTACTTGAAAAAATTGTCAGTTTTGAAGAGGTTTATGTAAAAACAAAAGAAGGTCGGTTACTTTCTGGTTGGTCGATATTTTTGTTAAACATGTTTTACATAATAATTGTAGGAATTAAACTGACAATTCCAAAAAAATTAATAAAAGCTCAAATAAAAAATATTTACTTGCAAAAATTGTCAGTTTCAAAGAGGTTTATGTAAAAACAAAAGAAGGTCGGTTACCTTCTTTTGTTTCTCCCTAAACTTCTTTCCTTTGTTGTTCGATATTTTTATTAAACATGTTTTACATAATAATTGTAGGTATTAAACCGACAATTCCAAAAAACTTTAATTTATTAAAATCCGGTCATAAATAACGGAGATAAAAAGGTTTATGTAAAAGCATAAAAGTCGAAAATTTAAAAACAAGAAAAAAAATATTTGGAAAAAGCGTATCAATGAGATATAGTCGTCGCGGGAATGTTTATAATTGTGTCCAATGTCAAAAACTGATTTCTCGACATACAGTGTGACCCATTATTGTGCGATTTTAACCGGATTTGTTTTAAAGTGTAGATCTTGATAAACTATATTTTTGGAGCAAAAGACGCCATATTAGTACAAAATACAAGGCTTACTATGTCAGTTTTTAAGAGTAAATTTTTAAGAATTCATATTAGCGATTTTTTTAAACAAAATCTTAGCACGGCACTGGATTCACCACCCCTCAAAACGACCCTATACTAAATTTTATTGAAAAATTTTAAGAAAAAAAATGCACAAAAATAACTACAAAAATTTATTTTGTCAAGTTATCAATGAAAAAGAATTGACCAAAAATTGAACTTAGTAATAGTACCATGTTACTATTAGTTTAATTTTATTTCAATGTTTTTTATGGATAACTTGACAAAATAAATTTTTGTAGTTATTATTGTGAATTTTTTTTCTTATAATTTTTTAATAAAATTTAGTTTAGGGTCGTTTTGAGGGGTGGTGGGTCCGTGGCCGTGCTTAGATTTTGTTTAAAAAAATCGCTAATATGAATTCTTAAAAATTTACTCTTAAAAACTGACATAGTTGGCCTTGTATTTTATAAAGATAGGTATGGCTTTTTTTGCTTAAAAAATACAGTTTATCAAGATCTACACTTTAAAACAAATCCGGTTAAAATCGCACAATAAATAAAGATTTTACAGGGGTGAGTCGCAAACAAATGGGTCACACTGTATGTATGAAAAACGGGAAATGTTAGGTTAGGTGATCAGTAGCGTATCATTTTCAAGGGGTCACAATAACAATTAAACTTCGTATCTTAGACAAATAATCTTGTCTAAGCTATGCATTAATTTTAAATTAATGCCCCTGGGTTTTTGATTTACCTGTATTAATATTGTACAATAATTGTGAGGGAACAGATGCCCCTGACAAAGAATTCCCTAACTGTCCCGATCACTATAAACTACCACGTGGGGATAATTTATTAACAGAAACGATTTAGGTGGAAAAACATATTTATTTATAGAATAAAGTTGTTTATTTACTCAAAATTGTTTATAATTTTTATATTGTAATGTACACTAGACTGGGCCAAAAAAATTAACTAACGGTTAGGGCCTAACTTAGCGGTTCCTTGGATTACATACGAAAAAGAAAACAAGTGTAATGTCTGTGCTTGTTTCCGAATTTATGTCGTTTTCCATTCAGTAAAACGCAAAATCAGAGTGACGCCTCATGACGCGTCATGACGCTTACAAATGCCCTGTTCGTGCGTAATAATACAAAACGGTTTCGAGTTTATTTATTTAATCCCTCGAGCCACAAAGAATGATGCCCTTTGTACTTATGGGTCGAGGTGAGGTCAATTTGTTTTAGAGGGTTTTTCTTGAAAAAAGTTAATTAATTTGGATTTTTTTGAGGGCGTTTACAATTTAAATTTATAGTCTTATTTAATTTTGTATTAATACAACAAGAACATATTTTCTTCAGAGTGCTTTGAAATAAGATATTTATTAAAATATTTCATACACGACATCAGGAAGTGCAACCATTTATTCTTTTTTCTTTAGTTTATAAAATATTGGGTTTGAACAAAGTAACAAAATAACAAAATTATTAGACCAAGTTATATTCAATATTTTAAGTGGCTTTTAGTATTGCTTTTAGTCAATTTAATTGCATCAGAATATAGTATAAATTGTTATTAAATCATAGAAAATTAGATGCAAGGCAATATAGGTATTTACTTATAATGCATTTAACCTTTACCCATAGTACATGTATAAACAGTTTAATTTAACAAAAGCAAAAGGTTTGCTCCGTCAAAGGAATGTGTCTTTTAGCAATGTTCATAACTTTTAAACGGCTTCGTTTTTTTTTTCTCAAAATTGATGTACGGATTAAGGGTTGCCTACCTAATAAGTAGGTATACCAAAAAATTCCAGGTCCGGCTTGGCCAAAATTTTCGAAATTATGTGTACCCTCAAAAATCACCCTGTACATTAGAATTTTGATTTTTTTTTCTTCCTTATAAATAAGTATTAAATTAGCTACAAAAAAATGTACAACTCATCTTTCGACAGAAAAGTTTATCAACAAAATTTTACGTGTGAAAGAACAAGTTTGAACAAAAAAAAAAAAGTGAGGTTTAGAGATGATCAGTTTTTGTAACTTTACCTACTGCAGAATGAAAATTTCTTACTTTTAATTTATCCAGGTCCATATCTAATAGGGTGGGCCGATTTTAATATTTTTCCAATATCAAATTGTGCAATGGTGGAAAAGTGGTGCATTTATAAGGCCAGAGTTTTTTTTTTAATTTTAATTTCTTAAACTGCCGCAAGGCCTTGAAAGATCTTAATGTAATTTAGTATCGTTATAAATACGAAAAAATTATCTGAGAGAAAATAGGGTTAAAAAAAGTTTTGAATGATTAATATAAAAATAAAAATGAATTTATCATCAACACAAATTTAATTCAATTTATAATCCTGTTTTACCTGCCATTTTTCACTAACACCCAAAAACCACAAACAGATACTACTTGTAAAAATTTCTATTATTCAACTAATTGACGATGTCAAAATATTATATTTATATTATATTATATTTATATAAACAGTGAAGCCAACTGTCAACTGTCCTACGTCAAACACGAAAATCTTAAAAAATATTTATTCTCCATTTTACGCCGTCTCTCCAATAATTGCAATTATTGCAAAATTTAAAATTTAAAGTTTGACTTCATACAGTTCAAAACATTAAAAAAGAAAAAAATATTAAAGGAAAATAGTTTACTTTCCTATTTCACAACTTTCCAGCTTGTGAATAATTTTAAATTTTTAAAAATTACTTTTAAATTTTTAGAGGCGTTGCGGCAGTTCAAAACATATAGATATCAAAAAAAATATTTTGCAAAAAATGTTTACTTTCCTATTTCACAACTTTTTCTTAAATGCAGAATTTAATATTTTTAAATTTTAGAAGTTAAATATAAAATCGGCCCACCCTAATATCTAATTAAATTCTTACTATTCTATTTTACAGAAAATACGAATCCAAAAAGTACAGGGCCCTCGACTGACGTCTTGGGATTTTGTCAAAATTTCATTCTCGAAAATTGCCAAGCAACAAACTTTCATACCAGTAGAAAATTTTGCCGGCAAAATTTGTTCTCTTGTGATATTATATACGATAATACTTCTAATATAACTTTAAAGGTAATTTGAAGCTAAAAAAAACATTATTCTTTATTATACAGGGTTCCCGTTTGTTATAAAATTTTTAAATATCATAAAATTGGTTAAATTGTCCTAAAATGTCATAAAATTCACATTTTGTCATAGAAATCATAACATTTCATTATTTTTTAACAATTTTCTCACCTTTGATCTTTTTTATAAAATGGAAATTTTGTAAAATAAAATTTAAAGCCGGTCCTGTAGAATAAAACGCAATAAAATGTTTTAAATATGGCCTTGGTTGTTGACGTATGTAAGTTGTATGATCTGTGGTATGAACTTCATACTATGAAGGAAAAAGAAGTTAGGTTAGGAAATGAATTTTAAATTTGAAATAAATAATGAGTGAGTATGAGTATAAGAGACGTATAACCAGCCCCATTTCCTCTTGACTCTCGAACCCCGTACAGGCCTATGTTTACTTACGCCGATTTTTGTTCTTCC